TTGGTCTTTAGTCAGTAATCCAAATTACTAGTACTTTTCTCAGCTTGTAGTGCTTGCTTTTTTTTGTTGCAGGGGGGATTTGTTTGTTTTGAGACAGTCTTACAATATTGCTAAGGCTGGTCCAGAACACTTGGGCTCAAGGGATCCTCCTGCCTCAGCCTCCTGAGCAGCTGGGGCTATTGTCATTGTGACTGGCTTCGTCCATCATGTAGTTTGTTTTCTGATATTTTTTGTGGAGGTTAAATACTTTTGATGTTTGCTTACTTGCTTATTTGTTTGCTTGTTGTGTGGTACTGGAGATTAATCCCAGAGCCTTTGCACTGAACCACACCCCCAGCCCATTTTATTTATATTTATTTATTTTGGCACTGGGGATAGAACTCTGAACCTTGCGCTTGCAAGATGGCAGAACCACTGAGCTAAATCCCTAGTCCTTTATTTTTTACTTTGAGACAAGGCCTTGCTAAATTGCTGAGCTACCCAGGGCGAGCTTGAACTCATGATCCTCCTGAATGCTGGGATTACTGGGTATGTGGCTAGATAGGTTGCATGTTTTTTGATGTAGTTGGTTCTTTGGTCTTTGATACTTTTTTTTTTTTTTGGTATCAGGGATGGAAGGGACCTTGAGCTTGGAAGGCAGGCAGCTGGAACCACTGTGCTAAATCCCCAGCTCATTTGATACTTTGTTTCTGCTCCTTAGGTTCATGCTCTGGAAACTTGTGGCTGTTCCCCAGGGTTCTTGGTCGGTGTGTCCTGGCTCACTTAGGTTCTGTGTGACTTTTGGATTGTGAAGATGAGTTCTGGCTCTGGTGCCCACGTTGTGGTTGCTTATGACTTCCCTCTTGCTGCATGGTCTTGGAAAGCCGGAGGCTTGTTCTAGCTCCTTCCCTTCTGTTGACTGGGTGCAAGGCACAGTAGGAAAGAGCACAAATTCGTATTTCCGTGTTTCTTGATGATTCTTCTCGTAGTTTGATCCAGATAAACCTTTGTATTATCTTTTAGATGCTGTAAAGGTTTTCATTTTTTATTTTTATTTTCTGGGCTTTGAGTCAGGGTTTTTCTGTGTAGTCCAGGTTGGCTTGGAATTTGTGAATCTCTTCTTACCTCAGCTTCCTGAATTCTGGGATTACAGGCCTGTATCACCACGCCTGGTGGGGTTTGTAATTGGTAGTGTTGAACTTGAAGTTCGTTAGAGACCGTCACCATCACTTTGATATGGGCTCATCCACCTGGGCCCTTCTCCCTATTTATCTTATCTTTTTTCCCCCACTGTATCTTGGGTATATTCTAAGGTAGTTCCTGTAGCAGTGGTTAGCAGCAGCTACTGGGCCCTGGCAGTCTAGGTGCATTCTGAATCCCATGTGGTGCTATGTGAGACCATCTTACTAGGGTAGGGCAAACGGTTGGTATGGGGCCTTGGTCCTGTCAGGGAGAGGCTGGGCAGAAGGGACGGTGCCATCCAGGCCATTCCCAGTCAGCGATTCTGTGTGGCTGTGCCCTGAGGCTCGCAGCACGGGGCTCAGATGGGTGCAGAGCCCTGAGGGCCCGAATGTTCCTGCTTCAGTTTCCCCAGATGAGTGTTCATTCAAATCCTTCATGCCAAGAGCCCCTTCCCAGGCCCTGGAAATGGGGAGTTCAGAGGGTGGAAGGCTGCAGCTTGGAGGTGCTATTACACCCCTAACTGTGGGACCAGGGATGGCTCTGTGGCCAGCCCCGGACTCCTGCCGTGACCTGCCTCTCCCCTGCTCCTCAGAGACGTCTCCCACAACTTGCTCCAGACGCTGGACGTCAGGCTTCTGGCAAACCTCTCAGCGCTGGAGGAGCTGTGAGTGTCCCCTCCTTGGCAGTGCCTGACCTGTCCAGCACGCTGGGGATTACTCAGGGTGGGGAAGTGCCAGTTGCCTGTTGTTATAGTGTTACACGGGCTCCTGTCACTGCCTAATCCCTCCTGTCTTCCAGGGACATAAGCAACAATAGGATTTCTACGTTAGAAGAAGGAATATTTGCTAATTTATTTAATTTAAGTGAAATGTAAGTAGCTTTCCTTTTTTTTTTTTTTTGGTACTGGGAATTGAACTCAGGATCTTGAGCTTGCCCATTCAGGTGCAAAGCCACCGAACTAAATCCCTGGACCGGTTGCTTTGCTTTTGGTGTTGTCAGTGGCTGTATGATCTGTCCCCTAATTGCGGCTCTCTGGGGGGACCCCGTCCCCCGCGGAATAGGAGGTGAGAGCCGCCTCTTATTCGTGGGTCATCAGAGGCCGATCCGATCTTGAATGTCTGTGGAGGAAATCTTTAAGAAGTTAGAGTACACGGCCCAAGTCTGGTTTCTGATCAAAGGCGCTTTATTGGCTCAGCAAAACGATTATATACTGTTATCCCAGGGGGAAGGTTCAGCAAGCTTATTGGACAGTTCAAACAAATCAATCACATGAGTCACTCAAGCATTTAACCATACAGCAATCAGTATTTTACCAAATGTGGGGAGGGGTAAGTGGGAAGGCGTACATCAACAATTAACCCTATGCAATCTTTAACTTCACAATCCCTAGGGGCAAGTAGGACAGGGAAATACCACCTGCTTCCTGCTCCAGATCCCGTGACCCTGTGGTTAGCACAAAGGGCTATTCTTTCTGTAAGATTTCCTGTTTGCCCAGGGGCTA